TAGTCAGCACATTTAATATGGAATAAAAGAGATCCAGTATAGAAATAATTGCATATTGAGAAAACATAAGCAGAGTCCTAAAGAGAAAAACTGTGCATGTGTTTGTGTGTGTGTGTGTGTGTGTGCATGTGTTCTTGTTGCTGTGGCCAAAAAACTTGAGAGAATAACTTAACCAAGTAATGATTTATTTTGGGTCACAGTTTAAAAAGGTTCAGTCCATGGTCTCTTGGCTCCCTGCTCTTAGGCAGAACATCATGGCGGTAGGAGGTTGTGACAGAGGAGCTCTACCTCACAGTGGACAGGAAGCAGATGAACAGTAACATAAAGGGACAAGGGAAGATGTAGCCCCCAAAGACACACCCAGTGACCTACTTCTTCCTCCAATTAGGCAATCCTGCACAATTTCACCACATTCTAATAATCAATTCAAATTTTGATTCACCCATTGATGGTTACAGCTTTCATTAGGTCAGAGCTCTTATGATATATTCTTCTCTGGAAAAATCCTCACAGACACACTCAGAGGTGCACTTCAATAATCTCCTCAGTGCTTCTCAACCCAAGCAAGTAGACACTCAAGATCAACCATCACAACGTAACATAAAGACAATGTCAAAAACTGGAAAGCAATTGAAGGAAGAAAGACAGAACTGTCTCTTATCAATGCTATCAGTATTTACAGAGATGATAATCCCTCTGGACTACTTCACAGAATGTAACAGAGGATATTCTGACATTCACAACAGAAGTCACCCATTTTCTACAGAGTTGGCCTAAGATGCTGAATCTGGATGGAGTCAGATATCCACCAGTAAATACAGAATCAGAACGAAGGGGAAAGAACAAAAACTTAATTTGTTAGCAGAACAAGCATTATAAAGTCAAAGGACTGTGCAGTTCCAGTGTTAAAAGCAAAATTCTTCTCTGCAAAATCTAGTGAAAGCCTCAGATTCACTTCTTTTCCAGTTATAAGCACATATTTTAGCAGAACTCTTTGGTGTATTGGTACAGATGAAAACCCGTTTGCAATTGTGTCTGAGAACAACATTGAGCCTTCTTGCAAAAAATTGCAGTGTGTGTACATAGGGTTATAGACTGATCTTTCTACCACAACTGTGACCGTTAATCAAAGGTTGTCCTTTCCTCTCTCTCCTTGTCTGTTGCCTCCAACATAGGTTGATAAACAGGTGCTATCTGGGGATTCCACTGCCATTCATTCTTTTCTTCTGTACTTCAGCACTGATGTGTCTGCTGAGCACTTCCTTGATGCTGGCAGACTGGCTGGCATCCAGTCCTGACAAATTGCTGATCTTTCCTGCCATGTAATGTTAAATGGGGTTTCTAGGGACATTGGACAATATATGCCAGATTTAGCATCTAAAGATTGGTTGACATTTCTTAAGTATACATCTTTTAGGGAGTGTGACTGCTTTAAAGAACTTCAATTTGGCCTAGAATTTGGCATGTAGAATCCTAAACTTAGATCTAAAGCTATATATAATTTTGTAAATCACTAAAGACAACACCATCTGAGCCACAGATGACAAACATGTTCAGCTGCCATTTATATGTCATTGCCCTTTCAGACCATGGGATTAACAAACATAATTAGTATAATTAATAAGGACCATATATAAATCCACATGTGAAATGCACAGCAATTTTTGGCTTGCCCTAATACTTCTTTTAGCTCAATGGTAACTTTCCACAGTAACTATTTTCTTGTGCCTGGAACTTGGTGCAGTATTTCACAGTGTGTTAAAAAGGAATAGTAAAGTAATTAATTCTAGTCATAAAAGCTTTGCTTGCAACATTGGACAGGTCAGCAAAGTCAGTGCAGGCAACCTAATTGGAATCTTCTGTTTTAGACTAAAGGATGACCTAGTCTCTGAGATGGCAGTGGGGTATATGGTATCATTACTCCCAAAAGAGAAATAGGAGTTTCTTGATGTGGGCACAAAGGGGTTTCAGTCTCAATGAGATTAAGATCATTTTATTAATCATTTCATACTCATTATAAGCGTAATATTGATAATTTGGGGAAAGCAAGCATTACTAACTGAAAATGTGTTGAAAAGATTAATCAGCATACATGAAATGTGAAGGAGACAATGGAGAGAAATGAAAACCTGGTTATCGAAGTGAGAATGTTTGCATCAAGGTCACATGGGTATAATATGTAGAAATGCATATCAGAGCTTGGTGTGATGGTTATAAACCCTAGCACTTTGGATGCTGAGACAAAATAGATTGTGTGTTCAAGACCAGCCTGGGTTACATAGTGAGACCTTGTCTCAAAGAAAGAAGAGAGAAAGAGAAAAAAAAGAAAGGAAGGGAGGGAGTGAGTAGCACAAGGAGGGAAGAACTAAAGGAGGAAATGAAAGAGAGAGAAAAAGAGAAAGAATGAGACATGTAGATATGCAAAAGTATGTAAGGTCATAGTAAATGCAGTAGAAAATAGTAAAAGGCTCTCTAGTTCCTTCTCATGACCTAGAAGGAAGCTTGGAATTCAGAATATGATGCACGAGAACATATGTAACTTACTACTCAGCTCTTCCTTTGTGGTTTTCTTGGGACCTCTGGATGGTCATTCCTGGAAACTGTAGCATTGACTCAAGACCATGGAAATGATTCACCCATTAATGTCAATGATGTCACACTTATTGACTCCTCACAGGATTGTCCATCTCAATCTTAGGTATCCTGAGAAAGGTCCAGTAGTGTCTGGTGGAACATTTCTTATTGAGGAGAGAGAATTTTATAGAATATATATCAAGCCTGTTTATGTTGACTTCTCTATGCAATAGTATTAGCTTTTATTTACATTTATTTTCTCCTTTAGAAGAAATGGTTATCATCAATTCATTTCTGTGATCAAACGTCCATCCATGGGTCTTTTAGTAAATAGTTTCGTGGAAAACATGTCAAAAATCTCAACTAAGAATGCGTATTTCAACTTTTATAATAGCTTGAGAGGCTTTATAGCTTTCTGGAAGAAATATATAGGTTTCGGTAACTATTTCGTTCTCATAAGAAGAAAGTTTAAATAAAACAATAAATTATGTCTATGGTTACACAACAATATTTCACAGTCCTAAAGAAAGAGACCTCCTCTGTGATGCTAATTACTACTGAAAACACCTTTCTTCCAAACATTTATAGAAACCAGTGATATCCAGGGTTAAACACTAAACATATTATATGGGCTTTAGGGGCAAGACCAAATTCCATGGCACCAAGACGAGAGGGACAGTATACATAGAATAAGATGTGGGCAAAGCAAACAAATAGATGTAGACAAATGTAGTACACCATTGAGCACAACAGTTCTTAAAAGAGTATATAATGAAGCTTCTTTAGACTCTTTTAGATTTGTAGAAACATACTGACTTGAAAATTTCTCTGAATGTGTAGATGTGTGAAAAATATGTTGCTATGATTGTCATAAATTATCATTATTATATTCATCATTTTTTCAGTAAAAATGCATTTATCAAATAGTAGTTTACTATTATGTATTAAGAATATAACAACAGATAAGAAAAAAATCTCAAAAAAAGAAAGAAAAAATCTCATCTGTGTTCATCTATAAAAGAGTGAGATTTGTAAACAAGCTATTCTTGGAAAGATCTTATGTTTTGGTCAACTAATTTTCCCCAAAATATCTGTTGCTCTCACTTGTAATATTGCCAATGAATTTTTTTCTAATTTGTAAAAAAAATCAAATATTATTTAAATATCCATTCTTTCATATATTTATTCAAATAATATTTATTATTGTGGCTGTTGGCACCAGCAAGTGCTCTAGGAGTTGGAAATTCAGGTGAAAAAGTTACAGTCTTTTGCCTATGATGGGCTCAGAGCAAGTGCAGGCATAAGCAAGTATGCAGACAATTACCATATGATCTGCTAGAATCTACCATAGTGATAATGGAACAGTGAACATAGAGACTCTGCACAGGGGTGTCTAAAAGAGATTATACATGAATGATGGGCAGACCCTTTGATAAAACCCATACACATTGAATTTTAAAGTAGATTAAAAATAGAATTAGTATGTTTAGGAGTTGGTGAGATAAAGACTTGCTAAAGGTGGAATATTACAGTCAAGGAGTATATATGCATGTGGGTGCCACTGAAGAAGTGTGGCTCTCTGTTATTAGGCAGATGACTTTTTCAAGCTTTTACCGCATAATGTGAGGGAGAGGGTGTATTTGGAGAGGGTGTGCCCACTCACTGGAAATGATGAAACACAGCATATGAATTTGAATGGAGCGTGAGAGGCAGACAGAGGAGGGAAATAGAGCCCTAAAAATTAAAAACACCTTTTGTATACTTTGCTGGGAGCCAACACATTACAATTTGCATTGGCCTTTATTTTACCTGGATCTTCACAAACACATTGCTTTGAGAAACCCTCAACTGCATTAGCAAGGAAAGCCAATACATGCAAATAGGGAAAGGAAAACAATTATGCATCAGGGGAAAAGGCAATGAGATAATGCTACTACATGTCTCTTACTGACTGACCAGCAAGCATAAATATTGCTGTTTAAAATGCTTTTCCATGATTCAACTGGTCAGTTCCCTGGTTTCACTGAATTCATTTTCTCAGCAGGTACAAGAGGAAGTTGAAAAGAAAGATCTCTGCCAAAGATCATCAGCAAAATTAAGGAGTGCTTTAAATTTATCTTTGTTTTACAATTTGAATCAATTTTTTAAGCAAGTGACTTCATTGGACAGAAAGAAAAGTGAATAAAGGTGTATCAATGCCTAACAAATCATTCACATGCCTCTTCACAATCTGTCTTTTGGGTAGTTAACGGTTTGCAATGACTGTGATCGTGCAGGCACTTCCCATAAACTACGTATGCATTATTAATAAAGTTCTGTGACTGGAAGTTTCCATCACTGCAATGACTCTTGGAAAGCATAGGTTCATTCAAACTAAAAATGCATAGGAGTTTGTCACAGTTTTAACATATGCATTCTTCTTGCAGATGGTTGAAAAAGAAGGTTATCTTCAAAAAGCTAAAATTGCAGATGGAGGAAAGAAGCTAAGGTAATAAAGTTCTTCCACTTTCTGTTACATAACTCTGGCAGTTTCTATATCCTTAACTTATGTCACTGCTATTGTCTGGAAAGCAAGGCCCTATGAAACCAAACTAGAATACAATAGTCTGTCCTGCTACCACTATGATCAATATCAGTTTTAATGTAATCGTAGTATTCAAAGAAAGTCACTACATTACTTATCATTGTACAGAGTACCTAAACGAACTGGTCCTCCTGGGATGTGAAATCTTTAAAACATAGAGAGATAAGGTAAAGTCCTCAATCTCGGATTAATACATTAGGAGGCAAATGACTCGTTTGCAATATATAAAAATTTAAATACATTGATAGAAAATTTTTTAAAGGACCAAGGATTTGAACTACATTTGTAGTTAAAAATAAAAAGTTATTTTAGAAACATAAACGAAATATAAAATCATGAACTCGGAGGAGGTGAAAGAAATTTTAAAAGGGAATAAGAACTCCCTAGGCAGTAATAAAAAACTTCAAGGAAAAAAACAAAGAAGACTGATCAGAGGATGAGAAAGATACTAGTTAGGTTTAGGTTGTATAAATGGAATATTTAGAAATAGTCAACTTCATTGTAGATTATTTTTTACCATTTTTCATATTATTCCTATTGTTCATTTAGCTTTATGGTAGGAACATGCAACCTAGAAAGGTATGTAAAAAATTCTTAAATTAGGAGACAAGCACAGACTTATGAATGTATTACTAACAGTTAAAACCATGTAAAATAAGTGTACTAATTAGCTACACAATGGGACACCTGTTGGTTGTCAAGTATAATTCACTACTAGAATGACAATCTGGTCAACACTGTAAAATAAAATGTGCTTTCGTTTGAAGGCTATAATGGATTATGTTTATATTTATTTGAAGTAAAATTGGGGAGGAGTTATCCATAATTCTACTTCTTAAAATAGCTATTCTAATTTTAAATAAGTGCTGTTTCCTACTCATATCGTGTCTTATTCTGGGACAGCAAATAGGGCCTTGAATCTTCTTCCTGACTGTTCCTTGGCAGTAGCCTGGCAGTCACCCTCCCTTGAAGATATAAGAAAGAGATGAACAGGAGGCAAGATAAAACACAAGGCTGCTTTAAGAAATGGGCTAGCCCCTAACCCAGTGGAGAACTGACTTAGTGAATCAGGCTCTAAAGAGACAACAAGAGGGATTCTTTGACTAATCAAATGTGAGTGCCATCCTCACCCCAACCTTACCAACTAAGGAAGGTGTATGGAGAGCAATAATGCCTCTCTCCAGATGAAACCCATTCTTATCTCACCAACAAAGGGTTTTTGCTTCAACTTCTTCAACCCTTCACTTGGGACTTGATAGGAGAGAAGTAGTGACAGCACTGGTCAGTCTTCGAGCCTCATGCAAGGTAGAGGAAGAGGCTCCAGGAAGCAAGATGATGTACTAGCATGGTGGCTGTGCAAATCATCCTTGCCTGTAGTTCATCAATAATCCAAACTACAATATTTTCTTCAAGAAGGTTATTGTCAAAGAAGCAGAGTCAAAGAACGTTATTCTTCCAGTGAGCTCTCGTAAAGACATTTTAAGTGGTTTCAATCAGTGTGTATACCACTGTGCATTTGTCTTATTTGCACAGCAAACTTAACTTGCATATAATTTCTGCATACAGTTAAAATTCACAAAACATTAGTCTATACTCTGTTTCATTGTTATTTCAATTATTGTTATTTCATTATTACTTCAATGCATGACCTTATGCACTTTCAATTTTTTTCATTTACAGGTACATAGATTTTAGTTTTCTTTTTTTAAACTTCCAGGTGCACTGAATTCAATTTATTACACCCTTTAACTTGGGGCTTATGTTATTATTGTTTGGGGCAAGAATCCTAGCTGATTTTATTTTTTTCTGTCTCCAACTCCATAGACATATATTCTAATTGTTCCTCAAAAACCACTCTCCATATATCTAACAAGGTATTCTATATTGCATAAGCATTTTTGTATTGTAAACCTCATTATGTTTCTTATTGCTTTCATTCAGTCTTAGTGTTTGAATATCTTTCTATGGTGCTATATTTAATATACGCTCATTTCTTCAAATTGCTGTCCATTTTTTCCATAGCAGATGTGTACTAAGTTTACTAGTCTCCCAGGTATGAACACCTAACTTGTCTCTAACTCATTCTAGCCCAAAAAGACATTACAATATATCACACATATAGGTCTCCTTTGACCCCGATAGAAATCCCCTCAGGGGAAAATAGTCCTGTATAGAGTTGCTTGTGCCTTTTATTTATAAATCCACTACATGCTGATGCCAGACTTTCTCTTGAATGAGTGTACCCCAGTACCTACTAGTTCAGGCTACAATGCAGAAGGGATCCCATTTTCCATTTTCTTGTCACATACATCACCATACTCTTTAATTTTGTCGAATGTATGACCATAGAATGTTACCTCATTGTGGCTTTCATTTGCATTTTATTTATTTACACTGATTGGTTTTGCAGTTGAGCTTAATATTATTCATTTAATTAATCATTCAGAATCTCCGTCCTGAGAATTGTTCACTCATGAACTATTATCTACTGAGTTTCTTGCTTATTTTTCTATAAGTTTGGGGGAACACCTAATATATTCTAGATAATAATTTTTTGTCATGTTTATACTTGATAAATATCTCCTCTATGTTTATACCAATTGTTTAGATATCTGAACAAGTTTGTAGGCTATAATACACCAAATAATTTGTACATTCATTTTTTTATTTGATTTTTAAGTTGAGTCCAGTTTTATGCTAAAAGAGTTGTAATTGCAATAAGCTTTCTAATGCTTGTCAATTTTCTTTTTGTATTTTCTGAAGATAAATACTAACCCGGTGTTACTTGGTCAAATTATCATTTTTAAATGAATCTTTGCTATACTGCTGCAACAAAGTGGTTGGTTTAACCATAACCTTGAAAACTTGGATATTTTAAGCCTATTGATGATTATCAGTTATTAAATAATAAACCAGTTGCTATAATTTGTATTTCTTATGTGTGGCATCTTTTGATAAATGATTTTCCATTTTTTAAGGAACTTTATATCATTTTTATAAATTTTAATGTGCGATAATAAGCAGTATTAGTAAATGATTACTCTAAAAGCAGTTAATATAGGTTTGTTGTTATTTCCTGTTATACAAACGGAGAACTTAGTTGCCTATTTTAACTACTACTTTCTCCCACATTTTATTGTGGCTGTAGTTAATATGAAAGAAATTAACCCTGTTCCTGAAACATGTTTGTTTTATTTCTCTTGCTTTAAGCTGTTTGAGACTAAAAAAGCAAAAGATATACTTTTTTTTTCATGCCATCAACACTTCCAAGGGCTTCAATTGTCACTTAATAAATATTGTTTTTAAAATGTCTATAAAGTTTTCTACTCACAAATTCATCTTGGTCATATATATTGGCTCATTCTGTTCTTCCCTCTCCTTATACTTTTTAATTTGTCTTTATTTCTCTTTTATACATATTCTCTTTTTCTCTAAGAAAAATTTTGATTTATCTCAATGTGAACAGGAGAAGGTGACAGGAAGGAGAACTTGTTGGCTACAGCTTACATTCTTGGAAAGCCTTAAATTTAGCCTCATTTCAAAATGAGGTTATACACATTTCCCTTGTGACACACTGACGGGCTTGAAAGCAGAATGCATTCAGCATTCAACTTTAATTTTTAATTATGAACGTTGAAATTATGCCTCGGCTTTTCTGATGAAGCTTAGAAATCTTTTCATTTGGGAAATTCCCTCCTCCAAACTGCAAGTAACCCTGGCCTCTCTGAAACACCATGAATCCTTAGTAAAAAGTTATTTTCAATGTTTAAATTTACAAAAGGCACCTGATCACATGATTATACTATTTCAATTCTTCACACTTGTGTCTGTACCCATATCTCTGTATCTTCCCCTTCATTGTTTGTTGGCTGTTTGTGGATCTGTACATCTAATATAAATATATAGTCTTCAGAAAAACATGGAAAATATTTGGAGTGAAAATACACACAGAAGTTGGGTATGAAAAGAAATACAAATAAGAATGCAGCGTGATCTGGTCTACTAGCACCTGTGTTCATTCTGGGGCCTGGAGTTCTTTGACCTGTGACTGTGTGTGTGTGTGCGTGCGTGTGTGTGTGTGTGTGTGTGTGTGTGTTTGTGTGTATTCATAATTGTTCCTCAGAATTGGCTTCCTTTAGAATATGTTATTAAGGTTCCTTCCTCATGTGAACTCATCTTTTCTTTACTACTTTTTACTTAGAATGGCATTAAGTCACTTAGGCTGAATCTGTCTTTCTCTGTTTTCTTACAACAGTGACAAAGATGTGTGTTTTTAAACCCTAGTGCCTGTTTGACCCACATTTTAGCAGTGCTAAATTATAAAACGCTTAGAATATAATAGGAAAAATAAGTTCCCAAACCTGTCAGGCTGAGAAGGAGTCAAAACGTTTAGGTGTTTGAAGGATTTTTCAGTAAATCATCAGGACACTACAGCAAATCACTCTGCTCTCATCAGTGGTGCAGAGTTAGTCACATTCAGCATGACCAAGTCAGGTAACAGAGGCAGGTGGCCCAAAATAGAGAGCATGAAATTTATGAAGTCATCTCACATATATTTTCCTCTGACTTTTTGAGTTGTCACTGTGTTATTACCTAAAGAAGGCATAGAAGATGAGTGCAAGATATAAAACTTTGTTGTTTAGAGCAAATGAATCTGTTAAACCTAGAGCTCAAGCTCACAGATCCTTATAATGATAATGAATATTTTAAGGGCCGTTTTCCATCAAGCATTCTCCAGATAAGCGTTTACAAAGTTGCAGTTACTATGTGCTGCCATCCGGTGTCCAGTTTGTAGAATGCCAAGCTGCTGCCTGTGTTGAGGGGTTTCATTGTTGTTATTTTGTTGTTTTTCATCTTCCAACTTCACAACTCAGGATTTGTTTTAGGAAAGTTCTGTGAAGTATTCACTTGGATAAAATGTCCCAACCATTGTATATGTTAGACAATAGCTCTTATGTGAATTTAGTTCTATGTCCTTACTAATAGTAATTAACACCATTATTTCTACCTCAGAAGTGATTCGTTTTGTTTATTAAAAAATAAGATAGATAGCTGTATTATTTTTGTCCCAGAATCTGTTTCCTGCATTGAGTCACTACCATCAATCTTTTACCTGATTCTTACTTGTAAGTCTGTATGGGGACCTAGACTGGCCTCATTTTTTCTTGAGACCTCTGACTTAAAGTTGGATATTTGAAGTTGGATCTTTCCTGAACTATGTGTTTTTGCTTAACCCTTAAGTGAATTCAACAACTTACTTTTTATCTTCCTGCATGGAAAAATAGGGGAAAAAAAGCTGTGAATATTATGATGAAATGCTGTGGTATTGTCTCCTATTGATGGATGAACTTACCTGCTGATCATGGGGTAGGATGGAAGTTAGGGATTAAAAGGATAGACTTTTTGTATTGTAGAACAGCCCAGGTCAGGACAAGAGGTAGCTTTGCTCCAAGAAAAAAAAAATGGTTCTAGTACTACTTTACCAATCGTTCTTTATCTCCCTCTCCTTGTCATGAGGCTCTGCTTAGACATGCTGTGCTCAATATGACTAAGAAGAGAGCTGACTGCCACCTGCTCTAGACACAACTAATCCCTTAGAATGAGCATGCCTTTATACTCAGAGACTTGGCCTCAATCCCATTTTTACAACCTGCATGTCCATTAAACTTTAGTTTTCTTCTCATAAGTATGGGTATATCACTCTCTTCCAAGAGTTATTTAGAAGATTTATCTCTATGTTTAATGTCTGTCCTCTTCTGGTTAGAGATAAAATCCCTGAGATTGCTCTTATTTTTCTTTACATAGTCATCACTCAGAATTGCGCTTGGCACATGATAAATGTTCAACAGATACTTATGACCAACTTAGCAATTAAAATGCTTGATACATATGAAATACCAGGTGGCATACCTTGTACAGAGTGGGAGCCAATGCAACATGATAGCTCATATTTTTGACACATGTTTGATAAGTCAAGATCTCTGGTGAGAGCTCAGGTATTGAGCTTGGAGGATTGGTAGGGTTTTGCCAATCCTCCTAAAAAATAAGATAAAATAGCTCATAAGACAACCCAGATGGCTGATTTGCTGTCATAAACTACACATGAGTCTTTATAATTTGAGGATTTCAACCAAAACTATGTTGAAATCTGACTGATGATATCTTTAACCAAGTTAGTGCTACTTAATCCTTTAAAAGCACAGTATGAAGTAGTAAATAGACTGCAGGTTTTGTTGTCCAAGAAACTGGATTTCACTTTAAATGTGAGTGGTCTTAAGTAAGTTACAAATACTCTCTTAGTCTCATTTTCATAGTAATAAATGGAGACATTAGTACCTTCATCATTTTTTGTATGAGAAGCTAAACCTTAGCTGGACAATCCAACTTATATCACCTATTCAAAAAATTTATGCTCATTTTTATTTTAAAAGAAATTATGGGAAAAACTGAAATGAAAAAGAAACATCTAAAACTTTGTCTGCAACATTTTATTCTTCATTTTGAAATGAAATTCTCAAGCAATAGAATTTAACCCTTGGAATAGTTTGATTTTCATCCTGATACAATAAAGACAGTGCTCGTCATTTGTAAATTCAAGATAAAAATAGCACTGTATATAAGGTGTCAGAAAAGTTCGTGTTACTAAGCTTCCAAACCCTGAAGTTCTTACCCTCTTCAGTTCTTTCATCTGAGTTACCTAACAGAGACACAGTTCACAGCAGTTCAAAGTCCTAAGACAGAACAATGAGATAATTAAATTTCATGCAACTTCAGTTCTAAGCAATTCCAGTTCCAAGTTTAAGGAAGGGAAGAATTTTGCCAGCAAGTTCTATAAACGATTAACATCTGAAACAGACTCAAATCAGAACCATTTATCCAGGAATTTCTATAGATAGGAAGCAAATAAGGTATAGTATCTCCCTGCCAAAAGATGGAAATTATAGTGGGAAATACAGCAGGCAGGTTAAATATGGATTTGTCATGTGTGAGAGTGTTCCATACTTCCTGACCACATATGGTCAAAAGAAGGAGGGTGATAAAAGATCCCTGGTTGAAGTCCTTCTAAAGTTTCTCTTCTTCCTACTTGAGGTCATAGATGACCTGCTGGAATTTACAAGGAGAAATGGGCAACAGGGCAGAAGGAAAATATCTAAGTATTTTTTTTCTTTCTAAAATTGTCATTATTTGGTTGAAAAAATTGACTCTTCATTTGAAGACAAGTGGATACAAGAACATAGTGCTTATATTTGTATATTGGAAAATCCACATTGTATCATGTGTCTGTTTATCCTGTTTGGTTTTTTGTTTGTGTCTTTCTCTTTTTTTAACACACTGAGATAGCATTAAGAAAGCTTCAGGCATTTAAAAGCAACCTAATTCTTTTTTGTAAATATTAATCTTATTAAATCAAAGCTGTCCTTTCAATCAAGGCACTAAATCCTAAGAGAAAAATAGAAATAAATTGCACAAAAATGTTAAAGTCATTTTTAACATATTTTTGGGTGGTTTTCTATTGACCTAAATGAAGTCTTCCTGTAAACTTTGTTTCACCACTTTTTGTAAACTAAGTTCAAATATTTTGAAATAAATGTTTTAAAAAAACAAACTGCAGCAATATAATACAGTGTGTAGAAACTTATCTATATTATCCTTCTTAATGTGTTTATTACCTAAAAATGAGTAATCTTCATGGCAAGAACACACATATTCTAATCACAGAAGTAATACATCCTCAATGCTGGAAAGTTGGTAAGCACTAAAAAGTACAAAAGAAAATTAAAAGTTATGATTTTCCTACCTGATTTAGCTATTACTATATCCAGGCTTTTTTCCAGGTCAAAATACAATCATTGATTCACTAAATAAATATTTAGTACCTGGGCAGTCCAAGGTAATGTGCTAGCTTCTAAAGGTTCTGAAGATGATGAAATTATTTCTATCATTAAAGACTTATTTTTACTGGGGGAAATGAAAACAAAATTTTTTTTAATATTTTAATTTATCATAAATGATATATGAAGAATTCATGGAAGGCACATTGGGAGAGCAATATTTGGATTTCTGATGAGCAGAATTAACAGTCAGAAGGGGCTTTGAATTACAATCTTTCCACATCATTACTTTTCTATAGCATAGGGTTCATTATTCCATTTATGAATCTATTATAAGCAATTTACTTAAGCAATATCTTATTTTTTATTTAGGTATAGAATTAATAAATCATAGTAGCCTTAACCACCTGTGAGATTATTTCTTTAGAATAAATTAAATTCATATGAGTAGACATGGTTGTCAAAAGATATATACAAATTTTTAGATTAATTAACAACATATTGTGAAATTATACTCCAGAAAAGATGCAACAGTTTACATTCCCACCTGTAATATATAGAATGAATTCAATTCCTTCACCCCTCTTAATCCTAAGTATTACCATTTTTTTAATCTTTGGCAATTTTGTGGGCAAAGTGGGAAAAATCATATCACTGTTTTTATCTACATTTATTTGGTTTCCAGTGAGATTCAACATTATAAACATGTTTGGAATTAAACAGTGACTAGAGAGCTGGTTTGTTTTTCAGACTCTGAAATACATTAAACCAATGAAAACAAGGAAAAATGAGGAAGGGGTTCTGATTTCTAGTTTTACTTTGCTACTTTTAGCTTACTAAAGACTTTTTGTGGGAGGGAGGTGCATGGGCACAAACAATTAGATGGTTAGGAGTTAAAAAATATTTTAGCAGAATCTACTCTTTTTTTTTTGCAGTACTGAGGCTTGAACTCAGGGCCTACACCTTGAGCCACCCCACCAGCCATTGTTTGTGATGGATTTTTCTGAGATAAGTTCTGGTGAACTATCACTGGATTCCAACAGTGATCCTCCTGATCTCTTCCTCCTGTGTAGCTAGGATTATAGACGTTTGCCACTGGCGCCTAGCAGGATCTACTAGATAACATCACACTTAAAAAACTTACAGAACATCTTTATTATTATCTAAACTCAATACTACTTTTAGGAAAACTAGTTAAAAACAGTCTGCACTCATTCTAAATGTTCCTCAGAGCATATTTATAAATGACTTCTACTAATGATGCTCTTTTCTCTTTTCTTTTCCTAAGGAAAAACTGGTCTACTTCCTGGATTGTTCTTTCTAGTCGGAAAATTGAATTTTATAAAGAATCCAAGCAACAGGCTATGTCCAATATGGTAAGTGGTTCTCTTTCTACTGTTACCATTTGGTCTCATCAGAAATTAAAATCTCTGAGCTACAAGCATCTGAAAGCAAATGGAGGAAATGACTCAATAAACTTTTAATCAGATGAAGGGAAAATAGAACTTAGTGTCTTTTTTATTAAGTGGTGCATTTGGAGAATAATCACAAAATGAGATGAATGGTGCGCAGTATCTGGTAATGTGAAGGTAACACTTTAAATTAAGGTGCCATTTATAAGCGCTTTATTCTTATTTATGAAATAATCACTAAATGCAGCTACTTGCTCAAATAATGTATTATAAAGTATGTTATAAAATGCATTAGTAATAAATGCTTAACAGATGAGACTATGGAAAGCTGTTTTAAAGAATATTATAAGACGTAAATCGTATTAAACCATGTATGTGCATCTTTAATACATGAATTTAAGTTGTTATCTAGCATGCTATAAAGTGCTTTGCACATTAATAAATAATAATAAACTGTTTATAAATGGCACCTTAATATAGGGTGTTACCAATGAGGAAACACACTAAGTTAACAAAGTGATTTTTTATCTTAGTCTGTGACATTCACTATATCCAGCAACCTTTCTGAATAGTTCTAGGACTCCATCTAATGGAGCTAATACAATTTCTGTATTCCATCGTTACTACAAAGTGAAATTTGTAGTTTCTTCATCATACCTGGAGAAAGTCCTCACATTCCTACAAAAATTTGACAGTGATGGTAAATAGGACCAATTCAGAGCAAGTTGCTAGGGGCCATCTAGCTGAAACCTTGCTGCCCAAACCTAAGAAGTGCCACAAGACATAGGAGATGGTAGGCAGGCAATATATCTGACAGCCTCCTGATTAGGAAGGGCTCTAGGCAGGAACCATCCTGCCATAGCCCATTGGCCTGATGGGTGACAAGGACAGGGGTGGCCAGGCAGGAATGAACCACAAAGAACTAATTTAGATTTGGCAGACAATAAAAAGATGGAAAGTTCTTTGCTCTCCAGCCACTAGTCATATTTTCTATGTAATCCTCTTTAAATAGAAAATAATTTGCTTGGAGATGTCTTTTTAAAAAGAAAATTTTAGTAAGAACAAAAGGTAACGTTTGGCTTGCTCCTGATAACTGCAATACCCTTTATCCCCCAGTGGCTTGCTGGTTTTGGAGTCTCAGTGCAGTCCAATCTGTAAACTAATTATGAATAAATTAAAAATATATCTCAGTCTTTTGTATTTTAAGCTGCCTCAGAAATTTAGGGTTTTGTTTTGTTTTTATTTTTTGGCTACAGTAAAGTTGAGATAATCTTTTTAAGAAAAATAAAATACCCCTAGGGGCCAGGCACAAAACAACTCCCATCCACTGGCAGGGCCTTTGTCTTGCCTTTGAATGGCTCTTAGGGGAAGTTAGGAAGGGAGGAAATTCTCTTGCCTTGCTGAGCTGGGCTGCTGAGAAGATGATCCTCACCCTGCTGAGTGAGAAGAATTCCACTGGAACAGAGTTTATGTGAATGTGCCGGGAAAATGGGAGAGACTAGATTCCATATTAAAACGTTTGGTTTACTTTTATTTTATTATTTTAATCTCCTCATACCAGGAGATCTACTTCCCAACTGTTCAGTTGTATACAGGTGAAAGAAAACTTACTTTTAGATTATACACAAACCTTGCAAGTCAGCCCACTAATTGTATGCCTCCAGATCAACCTTCAGAATACTTATAAAGTGACGATAGATTTGACTTGTAGATGAAATTAGTTAACATTTTTTTGGCAGTCCCTATTTATTACTTTTGGCCCCATATTCAATGCCCTTATAGTTTCTCCGAGGCACTTATTGTCTTCAAAGTGAATTCAGGGCAGGAACTAACTGTTTTGTGGTAATGGGGAAGAGAATTACAGATTCATGTTTGTACTGCATGAATTGTCTTGCTAGTCAACTTCTTGGATTCATTTCTAACCAAGAATTAAAGGCCTAGTGGAATAGCCCACATTTACCAATTCAAGACTCAGAGAAATGATACGATGACTGCCAGGCCTTGATTAAAGATGCTGTGGTTTTATTTTGAAAGAGATTTATGCTCAAGTTTCTGAATTTTCCTTGCACCCTGTTAAATGTGTCCTGGTGTTCATTGCGCTTCTGGGAAAAAAGCCTGTCCTTTCTTCCAAGGGATCAGGAGAAACTGCATGAGTGAGTGCAGAATGTGGTCTAAAGGAACTATCTTTATAGAATGATCTTTGAATGTTAATGCAGCAGCGAGATAAAGCAGCAAAGTAGCTAACAGCAAGCTTTGAAGGTGAACCACAGGAGACATAATTCTATTTTTGCACCCTTCCTCCCTCACCCCACCACCCGTGTCCCTTAGTAGCTCACAAAATTACTCAGTTTCTTTGAGCTTGGAATATTCACCTGTAAAATGGAGATAGGTATATCAGTCAACAGAACTAGTAAGGGATGAAAGTAGTACAACAAGAATAAAAAATACATAATAGCTGTAACTGATTATTAATTAGTCTCTTAGAATTTTCTCTCAAAATATATAAATATTTAAACTGTATGGTATAGAGTATAATTATGACATTATTGTACCATATCAATTTGTACTTGAACTGACTCAGACATTTATAGTAGAGAGAATCTATTAATTTAAGGAATACTATCATGCATAGCTTTCAAACAAAGAAATATATATCCAAGGGAAGCATAAAATGTGTTTGAGCCTTGACTAATACTGCAAATGAGGTAAACCAGTCATACAGGGCCCTACCTGTAATTTCTGCATGTCCATAAGTATTTTCTAAGAGCTCCCATCTTCTATTGGCACTCACTGCTAGCATTTTTATAGTTAATATAGCATGTCACAGAATGACCTGTCTGATCTTACATTCCATGTCTGAGTAACTTTCTTTCTTACTGAAGTTCATGCAGTTCATATCTATCTTTTTCACTTAGGGCAGCTATCACAGAATACTACAGGCTGGCTAGCTTAAGCAGCAAATAATAATTTCTCACACTTCTGAAGGCTGGAAAGTTCAAGGTCAAGGCCCTGGTAGACCTGGTGTCTGGTGAGGGTATGCTTCCTGATGTGTGGTTGGCCATCTTCTTGTTGTAATTGTTAGGAAAATGTTGCTCACAAAGAAAGCTCACAAGAAAAGTCTCAAGTCCAAGAGCAAAGTTTAATGGCAGCCTCAAACCACCAGGCTGGCAGGGGAAAGTTGGTACAGCCCAGACTCTGGGTGAGGCATAGTTTTTATAGAACAGGGAGGTTAAAGAAGTTAGCACACATGTGGTAGTCTCTGGTAGGGGTGGGGCTGTCTTAGAGCATGGGAATTTATGTTATGCATTATTACTCTATCATTCCCCCATTTTTCCTTTAATAATGATGAGGGTAGGGCCTTAGGATCAGGAATTGGGGCTAAGCGTCAGCCTCTTAGCTGCTTCCTGCTGTCAGGGGGCATTGTGTGGGGTGAGATCCTCAGACTCCTGCGTCCTGGTGGGGGCCCTCATAGCAGTCCTCTGGACAGTTTTGGGGAGGTTGATATCCCTGGAGGTACAACTGATTATGATACAAGGGAGGAAGCTTAAGAATAGGAGAGCAAGAAATATAGGCATTAGGATGGGCATTAGCCAGGAGAACCACTGTGAAATGTTATTCCCTAGAAGATTCCATTCCTTAAGAGGTGCTGCCACTGGGGGATTCCATTGAGCTTGACAGCAGTGGGTGCTGTGAGAATGACCAGATGAGGGCTGGTGCACTGAAGTCCCAATGGAGAGGGTAGAAGATCCTTTAGGAGAACAAGGTGCCCTGGTTTAACAGAAATGTTATAGGGTATGGCAGGATCTGGTCTGCATGCTCTCTGAGAAGTTCCCTGAGAAGATTAAGATAAGGTAGGTAATCAGCCAGAGGAGCAGAGTCTGTTGGAGGCAAGTTTCTAAGAGAAAACTTGTGCACCCCGATCCAAGTCATGGCACCAAAATGTTAGGAAAAACACCACTCACAAAGAAAGCTCGAGAGAAAAGTCTCACGTCCAAGAGCAAAGTTTAATGGCAAGCTCAAACCACCAGGCTGACCAGAGAAAGATGGTGCAGCAAGACTCTGGGCGAGGCATGGCTTTTATAGAAGGGGGAGGTTAAGGAAGTTAGCACTTGTGTGGTAGTCTCTGGTAAGGGTGGGGCTGTCTTAGAGCATGGGAATTTCTGCTAAGGTGCAGGGTTGCCATTTTGGCCAAGTCACAAAATAGTGACATTATTAATATATCAGTAATCTCACATGGCAGAGAGCAAAAGAGAGGAAGCTCTCCAGTCTCTTCATGTAAGGGCACTAATCCCATTCATGAAGGCTCCACCCTCATTTAGCTGATCACTTCCCAAAGTGCCACCTCCTGATGCCATCATCCTGGGGTTTCAGATTTAGCTTATGAAGTCTGGGGGAACACAAACATTCAATCCATAGCAGTAGCCAAGTGACATTTTTATCAAAAGTGCCTTCCCCCAAAAATAGCCAAGAATCATCACATCACTTGTCTATGTAAATTAGTGATTCACTGACTCTAGATCCTCATAGGCCTTTTAAAGGACAAAGAGGACTACCCATTCTGTTCTTGCTTTTTAGTGAGGACAATGAGGACATTAAATAATAACCAATTGTCTATTGTCATTATCATTTCATAACAAATGAGAAACAATGTTTATCATATAAAGAGACATTATAAAATGCCACAATTCAAAATCTAGAAAGGATAATATTTCTGGATTAAAAGACCATTTTTACAAAGAAAGGACATCTATCCTCCTTATATGATTACATACATAATCTCTGTTTTGTTCAGTTGCCCTCAAACAGAAGAAGCTTGGTCCAAACCAAGAAGGAACATTTGAAAACTGCTGGGTTTTCCACATATAGATTTTCTGAATTAAAAAAGGAGAGTATTCATATTCTTATATTTTAAAAAAATCTTGATATATAAATCACCAAAGTCAAAAAATGTACCCTGCCAGCTC